TAATTTTTGCGGCCAGATGTCCCCAGCCATTGCATAATTCGGCTTTAAATTCGCGCCGCAAACTTTTTTTGATCGAATTGGATCTCGGGTTTCAGTCGAGAGCCGACACAAGGAATCGACCGAGGTCTGCTGATCATTATATTATGATGGCTGTAAACCTGTTGTTGTTTAGGTAATTGAATTTCTTGGGGAGGGGGGAGGGGAGAGGTGATGGGGTAGAAAGAATTTGATTTCTTTGGGATATGAAGAGGAGGAGGGAGGGGGGGGGGTTCTAAATTCCTTGACCATGAGTAGGAAGATTTTTTTTGTTTAGATGGCTTGAGGGGAAGAGGGACGAGCGGAAGAGTTTTTAATTTAAAAAAAAACTTTTGGGCGTGGTAAATTTTTTAAAAATTTTAATTTAGGGGGTGTTTTTGAAAAGTTTAGGATAAAAGTGAGTTTGAAGTCTTGAAAGGCAAGAACTTTATTTACAAAACGAAAAATGGCAAGAACTTTCTTTACAAAACAAAAAACGGCAAGAACTTTCTTTACAAAACAAAAAATGGCAAGAACTTTCTTTACAAAACAAAAAATGACAAAAACTTTCTTTACAAAACAAAAAAATAGCAGATTGCCATTCCCAATAACACTATACTATTTTACATTACCGTGGAGTGTAAATATGTTGATGGCGTAGTAATTGGGACCATAGATGGCTAATCATAACAAATGATTAGACCTAATTGTGAATCTTGAATAGTTAATTAAGTCATACTGTACTTATGATTTCATCAATGGTTTTAATAAAGAATGGCCTCAGGCAGCGGGGAGTGCAAAACTAATTGCTTCAAATATTAAATCGCGCGTTTATTAATAAAGCCCTTAAACGTCTTCGCAAAACGAATATTAGGCAATTACGGACCGGCCACACTAACTTCCTTTTCTCTTTAAATCGGCCGCTGCCGCGTATGTTAAGAGGGGGGGGATGGTAAGACAGAAAAAGGGTGAGGGGGGGGGGTGTAATAGGGCAAGGCCAACATAAAGCAATGCTAGACAGGGGGGGGGGTGTGAAAGAGACATGGCAAGGGAAAAAGGTAGCCGTTGGAAAAGGCAAGTTTGGTTAAATTATTTAAAACAAGGGGGGAGGGTGAGGGTTGTAAAAAATAGTATGGGCAGGGTAGACAGTTTTTGTTAGAGGCAGGGATGGGGTACAGGAAGATAAAGTGAAGCAGGGGTAGAAAATTTTCATTTTTATGGGCTAGGGCTCTGGGCTAGGGCTCTGGGCTAGGGCTCTGGGCTAGGGCTCTGGGCTAGGGCTCTGGGCTAGGGCTCTGGACTAGGGTTTGGGCTAGGGCTCTGGGCTGGGGCTTTGGGGCTCTGGGCTAGAGCTCTGGACTAGGGCTCTGGGCTAGGGCTCTGGGGAAAGGCTGTGGGCTATGGTAACGTTACACTAAATTTTTGTATATGGCAGGGTCATTTTTTAAAAATTTAAATTTTTTTTTATTTGAAAAAAAATTTTAAAATCCACCCCGAAGTAAAATTTTATTTTTTTCTAAATTTTACCCCAGCCAAAATCCCCGTCCCCGCTTGTTCCTGGCGGGCTTCTCGTCCAATTTTGACGTGGCTCCTTTAATCAAGATTAAATTCTGTTGTGGCCAGGTGACGTCCTCGGCCTAATTGGACAAGAATCTTCTTTTCAGGTGCATAAATATTAATCATTACTCGGCACTTGACAGCTAATTTCTTATTACTATTTTGAGTGTAAATAGAATAATTTACATCATAACATCGTGGCTTGATTGCCGTTTGGCCGCCAAATTTTGTTGATTGTCAAGCCTTTTTATTTTGGGAAATTTTAAAAAATTTATTAAAAATTTGGAAATTTTTGGGGGTTAGTTAGACAAAACATAATATTTAGGTATGATCAAGGATAAAAATGACAAATCTAAATAGTCAGTATTATAGTAAAAAGAATGGGCTTTAATATGGTAAAAATTAAAACGTTTAAAAAAAGTTTTTTGAATTTTAAGGGCAATTTTTGCAGATTTTTGGGGAGATGACAAAATAAAATTAATTTTTTAGGTATGACTAAGAGTAAAAATGACTAATTTAAATTGACTGTACTGTGCTAAAAAGAATGGGCTTTTTTACTAACATAATTGAAAAATTTGAAAGAGGTACAAAAAAGAATGGCATAGCTTTAAATATTTTATTTTTAAATTTGAAGGCAATTTTTGCGATTTTTGAGGAGCTGACAAGATAAAATTAATTTTTTAGGTATGACATAGTACGAAAATGAAAAAAGTAGTTTTACAAAAATGTGCCAAAAAGAATTGGCTTTCAATTAATGTATGTTTAAAATTTTGAAATTTAGTCAAAAAAAGAATGGCACGGCAAAAATCAGTGTAAATGCTTAAAATTTTTGACTAAACGAGACACAATGTGACTAAAAATGCATTTTTATCAAATTGCCAAAATTTTTGTAATCAATAGTAGTGTGTAGTCTATCAAGTTCATATAAATTTCAATTACTCGCTTGTTTGACACTAACTCCGGACTTGGCATATAAACATGCTTGACCTCTAAATCCATGTTTCTACAAGTGGTGGTCATGTAAAAGGCATACATACCGCTATATTGCTCCAACATGTGTTGCGTAACAAGGTGTGAGGAATATCCTCAAGGTATTCTTTAACCACTTTGTTGGACATGTGACATCAGGCAGGGCAATTAGGTATGAAAGTCTGGATTTATTGGCAAATAATGGGGTAATTGAGGTTAATATAAAGTGAGTGTTGGGTCTTGGTCAAAAAGTTTTGGGAAAGTGGTTAAAATTATCTTTACTATGTTCTACTGTACCATGGCCTACTAACTGTAATGTCAATTACCACAACATATGTCACCACCTATAAATACCCTGCTTGTTTATATTACACTAGTGCATTAACCACCCCAATAACACTCGCTCCCGGTGACAATACAGTGTTTCTTTGTTCGTGCTTGGGATTATGTGTTGGGCACGTTGAAGACATACTCGCGCTAATTCTCTTCATCTCTGGCTATTCTCGGCTAATCTCGGGTATGATGCGAAACGTTCCGACCGTTCGCTGACGCAGATTAACGTTACTCGGCCGCTTTTTCGGATATCTACGTGGTTTTAATTAGGGGTTTTTGTTGGCTACGCATAGTTTATGATGTTGGCTAGGATATGGTGGTTTAAAATTTTTGGTTTTGTGCGTTGGAAACAAAGTTTTTGCGGTTTTTTGGTTAGCAACCCTAGTTTTTTTGCTAAAAAATCAAAAAATTTTTTTTGAAAATGAAAAATTTTAAAATCGATAAATTAGTCAACTACAGTACCTAAAATTTTATATTTTTGCATTTTTGTGTTCAAAAGTTTTTGCACAGTGCAATGTTTCTCATTGCACAGTGCAATGTTTGGCCTTGCCATAATTTAAAAACGATTTGACAAAAATATTACATTTTTTCATAATATTTAGCTTATGGTCTATACTTTTATATTTTGTTATTTTTTGTTCAAATATTTTCTTAAAATTTGCATAATGCAAGTTTTTTCTTTTGCACCGTGCAGATTTCCCTCATTGCACCGTGCAAACTCCACAAATCTGCACGGTGCAACAACTCCCAACTTTTATGTCACTTAATGCGTCTGAAAGCTCATTTTCTATTTCGGCACGGATTTGTGTTTATTTTAAGCACCCGTGTCGTACTTTGCGACATGTTCTACCTCAGTTTATCCGAAAACGTGGACAAAAATCCGAAAAACGGTGCGAAATTGAGTCAAACCCTGAGTTTTTAACACTCTCTCGCATTTCTCTGCCTGTCCAGTCATCTAGGGTCGTTTTAACGAGGCTTTATTAGTCTTTTCGTCTCTTTAACCGTATTTCCAGTCGTTTCATTTCGGTTATTTTAAATTTGTGGCTTAACCAATCAGCGAGCGAGACCGCGCTTATTTTGAATATAGGCCACGCCCCTTGGCGGTTAATCCATTTTGGGCGAAAATCCAAAGCCGCCCTTTTACCTGGCTTTGACCATTAGGGCCGAAGGCCATTTGGCCATTAATTCAATTAGTTTCGGCCATTATTTTTGAATTATTTTCGATTTTTATTAATTTGAAAATTAATAAATTAAAATAATTTTAGGTTTTATGGATAATAATGACAATCTTCATTATTTATAGATAATTTAGACTATTTTAAATATTATTATTAATTCAAATTTTCAAATTTCGAGTTTAGAACTTTTTTTTTTATTTTTGTATCAAAAAACGTCATTTTTTATCGATATGATATGTTTCTTTGCTAAAATACGACTGATTAAAATCCAAATTTTAATTTTTTATTTAACACTAGTTTGTTACAATTAAATAAGCTTTTATTTCTTATATTTTAAAATTTTTTATGATTGCCCAATTTTTTAAAAATTTTAACTTTATCACATTTTTTTCAATTTTTAGTCAATTTTTCGTGATTTAACATAATTTTTTTATATGTTGTAATTTTTTTTATTGTGATAATAGATATGAGGGTACTACACATTATTATTTTCATATTTAAAAGCTTTTCTAATGTCATTTTAACTTAAAATCAACGATTATTTTGTATTTTTTCGTTACTTTTTTTGAAATTTTTTGGTTGGTTTGCTTGATTTTTGATTAAAAAACAACCAATTTTTGCAAATTTAAAAAATTTTTCTGGTACCATTTATAATATAAAGAGAATTATCTATCATTTGATGTATATTACGTTATATTTACACCAGTGGTTTTTTAAAAATTTTGAAAAATTTAAATTTTTTGCTTTGATTTGGGCGTTTCAGGCGTCCCCGGCCATTTTCTATCCTATGTACTTTCAGACCTGTCCTTATTTTTAACTCTTCATTTATTTTACATCAATGAAAATATAATAACCTGTCATTTCGTGTACATTCCGCTCAATTTCCATTAGCCATTCCAAAGATATTACCTAAAATCCAAAAATTCCAGAGTCAAACTGGCGACCATAATGAAGCAAGAAGATAAACCGTCGCAGGTCCCGGACTTTGCGTCGTTCCAACAAATTCTATTGGCCATGAATCAGATGAACAATCTGAATTCGAATCCCGACATGTTTGCTCAACTATTCAAATGTGCCAAGCCCGAGTCTTCGCCGAACTCGGCCGACACTGCCAAGATCTTCAACAATTTCGGGATCGAGTCGTTGACACAGAATTCAGAAGCCAAGAAAGACAGTGATAAGCAGAGTGAGACTGATACTATTCCTGATGAGGAACCTCAGTCACCTTCAGGTAAGGGGAGAAAAAATTTTAAAATTTCAAATTCCAGATGCCCAAATGAGTTCAAACTCTCTAAAAATGGCGTCTTTATCACCAGACAACTCCCATCACTTATCTACAGCTTTTAATGGTGGTCTATCTCCCACAGCTAGCGAACTTGATCATGGTAGACGGAAACAAAGAAGATATCGCACCACTTACACTGGGTACCAGTTGGACGAGTTGGAGAAGATTTTCATGACCACACATTATCCAGACATTTTTACTCGGTAAGTTACAAAAATTTTATTTTTAGTCGGGTTGAGCGGGGTAAAATTGGGGAAAATAGTTTGAAGTATTAAAATTTTTGAAAAAAACGGTATAGTTAACTTTACCATAGTAAAACGCAAATATAGCAGTGTAAATTGACATTTCTTTTACTATAGTACTGTTTCCTAGTATCTTGGGTATCTTTTGATACTAAATTTGGCTATTTTACGGCTCGGTTTTTTCTTGTTTTGACCGATATTAACCATGACATCAAATTTTCGAACCATTGATATGGGTAACTTTAACATGGTAAAACTAGTACTAAATAGTACAAATTAGCATCATATTGGCTATAATACAATAGTACAGTATCTTGGCTAACTTCTGCGTCCAAATTCGACCGATAAGGTTTGCATTTTCTTATGGTTTTGCTCAATATTATCCATAATATGAAATTTTTGAAAAATAGGTATGACCTCTTTTGTCATTGAAAAACTGATACTAAATAGTACAAATTAGCACCAAATTAACTCTACTATAATTCTCAAGTACCTTGGCCATCATTTACGTCCAAATTCGAGGGCAATTTAATTTTTCGTTTACCTTTGTTTTGGGCCGATATTAACCATGATATACAATTTTTGAAATATTGATATGGGTCTCTTTACCATAGTAAAACTAGTACTAACTAGTACAAATTAGCACCAAATTAACTCTCGTACAATTCTCAAGTATCTTGGCCATCATTTAAGTCCAAATTCGGGCCAATTCAATTTTTCGTTTACCTTTGTTTTGGGCCGATATTAACCATGGCGCGCGCTCTCTTAATGTACATGTTATAATGTGTATTATGCGCAATTTAATCTGAGAGCGGATATTATTCGAATAGGGAATTTGCAATTATGCATTTTACGCGCTAATTAAGGGCACACCGGCGCGGCCAGGAATGGTAATTGGAGAAGGCCGGCGGGCACAAAAGAGGGGCTTGTTTTCGTGGCGGGACACGCAGACGATACGATTACCGGAAGGGGATTGTTTGTTTTAGGTGGTTTGAATCATTGAATTAGGCTTGTTAAGGGTAGTGTTGATTTTTGGATTAGATTTAGTAAAAAAAATTTTTTTTTTTAATTTTTTGAAAAGCTCGCTCAGAACCCACTTTTCTACAAACTTTTTGACCGCGCAAAAAATTAATTATCTACCCAAAAAATGATGATTTTTGGCCATAACATTACTATTTGTTAATAAACTAACAAATTGGTTTAATAACAAAGCAATTAGTCTGATGTAATCAGCTCAGTATAATATTACTATTGCCCGTAATACTATCACAGCTTATGCAAATAGAGTTAACGAGTTCCGAGAGCTGTTTTGGTGCATCAATATTAATAATGATGATTTGTTACCTATATTGGTAACGACTTGTTCCGCCGGGAAGTTAATTTGGGGGAGGGGGGTGGGGATAGTGTTTTTGGTATAGTGTGATTGTTACAACACTACAAATTACCCTACCCTACCTCACCCTTCCTTACCCTACATTACCCTACCGTACTCTATCGTACCCTACTGTACTCTACCGTACACTAATGTGCCCTACCGTACCCTACTGTACCCTACCCTAATATTCTTTGTCTTATTCTACCTTGCCTTACCGTACCCAATCCTATGTTACCCTGCCATGTCCGATTCTACCCTGCCGTGTCTTATTGTGCCCTGCTTTGTCATATTCTACCTTTCCCTATCCTATTCTACCCTGCTCGTTTCTATTCTACCCTGCCCTGTTCTATTAGGTGCCGACATAAAGAACCCGCCATACTTTCACTGTAATGTCCTGTAAAAAATGGCGGGTTCTTTATGTCGGCACTTAATATTTTACCTTTCATTGGCCATTTCTACCTTGTCTTGTCCCATCTTACCCTGCCCTGGCCTAGTCGACTTTTCTTTGATCAATTCTACCCTGCTTTGCCCTATCCTATCCTATTCTACCCTACCCTACCATTTTTATACCTAAACATAAAATTTGTTACCTAAAGCTCAAAAATTTCGAAATCAAAAACATCTTTTTTAAAAATTTTAAAAATTTCGCTGCCATTTCAAAGTCCTATGATCATATCCTGACTTATGTCTTTTTGAAATTCGACGACAAAAGCGGCGGGCCATAAATCCGGCGACAATTATTGAGCGCGCGATAACTAATTACCTTAATAGAGAACCGTGTTACCGGGCAGGTGTGTTTCGTTTGATTTATATTTTCTTTTCGGCTCTGGCTTCGGGTAACTTGTATGTTTGCACTATAACCCAAAGTCAGCCAATTAGGTCGTTGGTAGAGCTATTGAGTGAATAAACTTTGGCGCAACCGGAACATTCAAGGATAACATGGTTAATATTGAGTGTAACACGGGGGAAACGTAGGAAAACATGGTTCAAACTGAACTGAAATAATGTCAAAAGCCCAAACATGATATGAAAATTAAAAAGCGGTCCATAAATTCATAGAAAACTACAAAATTTTAGTTAAAAATGGCATTTTTTCCAAATTTTTCCACTTTTTCTGACATATAGTACCTAAAATGCTTGATTAGACTTTGTTATTACCTAAATTAAAAGATTTTTTTTGAGAATTACAGTAGACAACTTACTTTACAATTTAAAATGCATTTTTAGTGAGTTTCAATATGATATATGATTAAAAATGGCATTTATTTGCAACCGAAAAATACCTGGAGTTTTTTGTTAAGGATTGCTAACAAAAAGTTCCAGTGATTTTTCGGTGGCCTAAAATTGACCGATGTTCAAAACGTTTTGGGAAAAAAATTTATAGCAAAAAAAAGTGAAAAATGACTTTAAATTTTAAAACTAAATTTAAATTTTTTTAAAATCACGCCTTTTGCCATTAATCAACCCCCATTTTCAGCGAAGAACTAGCCCAACGTCTCGACCTGAAGGAAGCTCGAGTTCAAGTCTGGTTCCAAAACCGTCGTGCCAAACATCGAAAGCAAGAACGATCTACCGGCCACCCATATGCACCACCCGGTGGAGGCATGACCCACCCCTCCCTAGCCCAAATGGCCTCGTACCCAGCCTGGATGTTGGCCCAGCAAGCCTCATTCCTCGAGAACATGCCCTACTTCAACTTGGCCAACCTGAACCAGGAGAAGACGGCCGACGCCGACAAGGACAACAACAACATGGGACAATTCCAGCAACTTTTGCAACAACAACAATATGCAAATTACTTTTTGAATTCGCTGCTTATGCAAAAGCAGCTGAACCCGGCTTCGCCCACTTCCGCCGCTAGCCAAAATGCGTTCGTTTTCCCGCCAACGGCTTCGCTTTTGGGCCAAATTAGCGAGGCTAGTACTCCAAACACGTCCACGCCCAGTACTAATGGATCTAACAATTTGGTACCAAACAACACCAGTACCGGGCTACCGAACAGTATCAGCTCCCTTTTACCCAATGCTTCCGGCACTATTTTACCGAATAGTACTGGTACCAAGCTGCCAAGTGGTACGAAAAGCGTGGTACAAAAGGAGAATAGTACCGTGTTGCCAAACAGTACGAATGAGTTGCTAAAGTCAGGTTCTAACAACTTATTGACCGCTTTTTTGGCCGCAAACCAGCTGAAATCCGAGGAGAAAGAGCCGGCTGTCAAAGAGGAACAGGACGTGGAATCCAAGTCTGGGTCTATTTCACCAAATCGCAACTAATACTAGTCTAGCCGGTGAGGGGTGTTCAAGGATGTCAATTTGAAATTTCCATGAGATACATTGATTTTAAGAAAAAATGAAAAAATAGTGCATTTTTAGCAAAAATTGATAATTTTGGTCGAAAAATAAATTTTTATGTATGAATATGCAAATTTTTGACAAATTTTTTGCCCGATTCTGAAAGCACATGGTTTTTACTATAATCCAAGCTAATTTGGTTTTCAGTGTAAACCTAAAATAATCTTTTTAAGCCTAAAACAACATCCACGGTCCGAAATCTCGAAAAATCGTGGTTTCTTGAGCAAAAATCAAATTTTCGACCAAAATATGCAAATTTTTGTAACAAAATTTATACGCATTTGGAAAAGTATTCTGTTAGCTTTATTTTAATGTATTTGGAATTTCGAATTTAAGCCTAACACCCGCTGAGAAATGGCTTTAAACGTATATTACACTAGGTCTATTGTACTCTTGCGAGATTCTGGATCTCAACGATGAAATACTCTTTAACCACTTATGTTGTATTACTTTCTAACTACTACTTTTACAATTTTATAACTTTTTTTGAAATTATTAAATTTTCAAAAAAAATTTTTTTTTTTAAATTTTTTCGAAATTTTAAAATTTTGAAAAAGTGACAAATTCAGCTTGAAAACACTACTTTATGATATTGTACTGTCAAACTACAGTCCTCTATAGGAATACTGTATAAAACTTTACAATTTTACCCCCAGTGCCAATAAGTTTTGTTCATTTTGCACTTTTATTGCAATTTCGAAAAAAATGTGACAAAATTTTTCGGACATAATTTTTTTTAAATAAAAATATTTAAAATAGTAAAGCTTTAAGCAGTAATAGCCCACCATTAACCCATGCCTCTGTTTTATTGAGCAAATAACAGTTTTTATTAATATTATTGATTTACAATTGTCTTATATGAAATATTTTAAATCTCCGGTTTCTGCATGTTCTTACACAGATTTCACACATAATTTGTACGATTTACACTTTTAACATTACATTTTACGATTTACAATGTATTTTTGTAATTTTCGATATGTTTTATGGTAAAAAATGGCAATTTTTTGGGGCCGAGAAATGGCTGGAGTTTTTTGTTAGGGATTGCTAACAAAAAGTTCCAGCTATTTTTCGGTGGCCCTAAATTGACCGATGGTCGAAAAGTTTTGGGAAAATTGATTTCATAGGGTAACTTAGGCTAGTCTAGGCCTATAAAACTCAAAATTTTTTAATTTTGTCAAATTTTGATTTTTCGACCATTTTTAAAAATTTGGTCGATTTTTCGACTTCAATCCTTAATTGACCAGATTTCCCAAAACTTTTGGACCCAACAACACTTACACTTTTAACAATATGACAATACGACGCTTTACTAAAGTAATCCGGCAATATATACCTTTTTATTGTTTTGCTTTGATATGTACAAACATGTGTACTACAGTAATAAACATTTGAAAAATAATCGATAGTGGCATTCCGTGCTAAAAATAGTCGAGTATGACGTTTTTAACGCCAATAAATATGAATATCATTAATAGTATCATACAGTTGAATTGGAACCACTCGGCGAAGAAAACCCAACCGGCTTCGGCGACGACTTCGATCGGATTCTTGTAGGGCTTCGACTTTATCATGGTAGAGGGCTGAAAGTACAGTAATTACTGTAATATAAGATGACAAAAGAAATGTAATGTATGATACCAAAAAGCATAGTAAAAAGATAAACCAATACCCTACCCTACCCTACCCTACCCTACCCTACCCTACCCTACCCTACCCTACCCTACCCTACCCTACCCTCCCTACCCTACCCTACCCTCCCTACCCTACCCTCCCTACCCTCTCTACCCTACCCTACCTTACCCTACCCTACCCTACCCTACCCTACCCTACCCTACCCTACCCTACCCTACCCTACCCTACCCTACCCTACCCTACCCTACCCTACTCGACCTTACTCTACTCTACTTTATCATACTATACTATTAAGTACTAAGCCTAAAAAATGTGTACTAAACCTAAATTTTCGTGTTAAGCCTAAACATCTTCTCTGAGCCTAAAATTTTAGTTCTAAGTTTAAAAAATAAAGCCAAGCCTAAAAAATGTGTAATAAGCCCAAAAATTGTAATCTATGTTTAATTACGTTTTTCTAAGCCTCAAATCTGTGTTTAAGACTAGAAGTTCAATCCTGAGTTTAAAAAATAGAGCTAAGCCTAAAAATTGTGTTTAAGCCCAGAAATGTTAAGCTAAGTTTTAACACATTTTTCTACGCCTAATTATCAGTTGCTAAGCCCGAAACTGCGTAATAAGCCTAAAAATTGCACGCTGTGTTTAATTACGCTTTTCTAAACCTAACTTTCAGTTGCTAAGCCTAAAAGTTGTGGTTCAAGTTTAACTAACCACTGCTAAGTTTAAGCCTTAATATTTTATGGGCTTAGACTTACCAGGCTCTAAGCCTTAAAATATTTTTAACTGTCTTAGCATTAGTGTTGTAAGACATGGCTTTAACATTTAAAGGCTTAGTATCTGTTGTTTTGACATTTAATTTAATACCATGTTATGTTAGTTTCCCAGCTATTATATCTCATGTTAATCACTGAGCTACCATATGACAAAATGTCATCATAAAACTATATAACTAACATATATATATATTTCCTACGTATTTTACTTCTCAAACATTACACCTCACCACTTCTGATGTCTCATCGTGAAACTACGTAAAGCCGACGTCAAATCGTTTATCATATCTGTTCCAATGACAGCTAATCCACCCCCAACGTCACACGATTAAATTTTAATTTTCAATCCGCTTATAGTGTTTCTTTATTGGATAAGATAAGATTATCTCTTTATCGTCATCCTCGTATCTTTAACATATTGTAGTACGTCAAAACTTAAAAATTTAATTTGAAATTAAAAAACTGGATAAAATGGCAAGAACTTTCTTTACAAAATAAGAAATGGCAAGAACTTTCTTTACAAAACCAAAAATTGCAAGAACTTTCTTTACAGAATAAAAATGGCAAAAACTTTCTTTACAAAACGAAAAATGACAAGAACTTTCTTTACAAAGCAAAAAACGCTTTTAATCGTATAACTTTTCACCCGCGGCCTGCATAACTTAATTTTTATTAAAATGAAAAAACTTTCTTTACAAAACAGAAAATGACAAGAACTGTTTTCACAAAACAAAAAATTGCAAGAACTTTCTTTACAAAACAAAAAAGTGCAAAGACCTTTTTTACAATTTCAAAAACTGCCCTAGGTTCATTGTTAACCCCCACCCTTCTTCCCCACCTTAATATAATAGCTAATTTAAAACCTTTAAACAATGCCATATGACAAAACAGTTAATGGAAATCTTGGAAGTAAGAAAGTAGGTGAGATGGACGGAACAGGTCAGAGAAAGACCGTCATCTGAACTGAATAGACGGCTGAGTGCGCGACCCACGGGCAGCCGCCTCAAGGTCGTCAGATTGCGGTGAAAAACGTTTACAAATCCAAACTTTGCAGTTGCAATAACAAAAACAGTCATAAGTGTTTGAAGCTGGACCTAGGGTAGTGCTACGTGAAGAAACGTTGGCCTAGGGTAGAAGAACACCTTACCCATCTGCTTATCCTTGGCTATAACAATATAAACGCCTAGATTTCAACAAAAATCTTACTAAAACAATATACATTAACCTTGCTACAACTCAATTTGTATGCTATCCTATCCTACCTTATACTATCCTGGTCTACCTGATATTACCCTACCTTATACTATTTTACTCTAGTCTACTCTGCTTTCCATTGCTGCTGGGTTGGCTTGGCTTGGCTTGGCTTGGTTTGGCTTGGTTTGGCTTGGCTTGGCGTGGTTTGTCTTTGCTTGGCTTGGCTTAGCTTAGCTTGGCTTGGCTTGGCTTGGCTTGGCTTGGCAGCTTGGCTTGGCTTAGCTTGGCTTGGCTTGGCTTGGCTTGGCTTGGCTTGGCTTGGCTTGGCTTGGTTTGGCTTGGTTTGGCTTGGCTTGGCTTAGCTTAGCTTGGCTTGGCTTAGCTTGGCTTGGCTTGGCTTGGCTTGGCGTGGTTTGTCTTTGCTTGGCTTGGCTTGGCGTGGTTTGGCTTAGCTTGGCGTGGTTTGTCTTTGCTTGGCTTGGCGTGGTTTGGCTTAGCTTGGCGTGGTTTGGCTTGGCTTGGCGTGGTTTGGCTTTACTTGGCTTGGCTTGGCTTGGTCTGTGCCTTGGCCTGTGCCTTGGCCTGTGCCTTGGTCTGTGCCTTGGCCTGTGCCTTGGCCTGTGCCTTGGCCTGTGCCTTGGCCTGTGCCTTGGCCTGTGCCTTGGCCTGTGCCTTGGCCTGTGCCTTGGCCTGTGCCTTGGCCTGTGCCTTGGCCTGTGCCTTGGCCTGTGCCTTGGCCTGTGCCTTGGCCTGTGCCTTGGCCTGTGCCTTGGCCTGTGCCTTGGCCTGTGCCTTGGCCTGTGCCTTGGCCTGTGCCTTGGCCTGTGCCTTGGCCTGTGCCTTGGCCTGTGCCTTGGCCTGTGCCTTGGCCTGTGCCTTGGCCTGTGCCTTGGCCTGTGCCTTGGCCTGTGCCTTGGCCTGTGCCTTGGCCTGTGCCTTGGCCTGTGCCTTGGCCTGTGCCTTGGCCTGTGCCTTGGCCTGTGCCTTGGCCTGTGCCTTGGCCTGTGCCTTGGCCTGTGCCTTGGCCTGTGCCTTGGCCTGTGCCTTGGCCTGTGCCTTGGCCTGTGCCTTGGCCTGTGCCTTAGCTTGCTTCATACCTAAAAATATATCCTACCCTACCCTACCCAACCCTACCTCCCCCCCCTCCCCCTCTATCTTCCCCCTCCCCCTCTACCTTTCCCCCTCTTCCCATCTCTCCCCCCCCTTTCAACTCATCATCTTAACCCCATCCAGCAACTACAATATGACATAATTACCGAGTGAGTAATTACACGCCCTCTCCAGCAGCTCCTTAATTAAGATTATTTGTTTTGCTTGCGCCATGGCTTGGCATGTTTTCAAGACTCTTGACCCAAAACTGAGCAGCGTCGGTTTTTATGCAAATTTTGTTTTTGCTTTTTTGGCCAGATCGGGCCTTGAATTTGTAATGGGACTTTTTTTTGTTTTGGGAGCGAAAGAGATGGTTACCTAATGATTTTTTGATTAATGAGTATGGTTTGGGAGTGGATTTTCAGTTTTCAATAGATTTTAGAAGGTGTAAAGAAAGTTCTTGCCATATTAAGTCTTGTAAAGAGAGTTCTTGCCATTTTAAGTCTTGTAAAGAAAGTTCTTGCCATTTTAACTCTTGTAAAGAAAGTTCTTGCTATTTTTTGTTTTGTAAAGAAAGTTATTGCCATTTTTTGTTTTGTAAAGAAAGTTCTTGTCATTTTACATTTTGTAAAGGAAGTTCTTGCCATTTTTGTCTTGTAAAGAAAGTTCTTGCAATTTTTAAAAATTTTATGCAAATTTTTCAAAGAATCTTAAAGACTTTTCTTTATGATTAGGTATTATTCGAATACCTAATAAACCGCGCAGGTAAATGGCCACAGATGTTTCAAACAATAATAGCTAATTTGGCCTCGCAAATGTTTTTATTCGTTTCTGTGCCAAAAAAGAGCAATTAGAGCTTACTTATTATTTTATATAGGGTGGGGTAGATTTAGTATAATATTAAATAATTAAAAAATTTAAAATGTTTAATTTTAAGGCTTTTAACATAGCCTTAGGCTTGAAACACAACTTTAGGTTTTTTTTTAAATTCTAGGCTTAACGGGACATGTTAGGCTTTGCAATATACTTTTTTTTACACATTTTAGGCTTACCAGCACACAATTTTAGGCTTATCATGTAATTTTTCGGCTTAGCAGCACACATTTTTAGGCTTTGCAACCAGGGCCGGGCGCAGGGTACCTGTGCCGATTTTTTTGACCCCCGCCCCCGACCAAAAGTCCCCGCCCGCACTGTTTAAAACACACGTTTTAGGCTTAGCAGTACACATTTTAGGCTTAGCAGCAAACATTTAGGCTTATTACATAATTTTTTAAGCTTAGCAACACATTTTTAAGCGTAGCAGCACTCATTGTTAGGCTTAGAACTTTCTATATTAGGCTTAGCAGCAAACATTTTTAGACTTAAAAGCATATGCTTTAGGCTTAGTTTATCAATTTGAGGCTCAGCAGGGCATCTCAGGCTTAACAAAACATTTTAGGCTTATTACATCAAACTTAGGCTTATCATAAAATTTTAGGCTTAAAAAGCATTTCAATTTTAGCGGCAAACATTTTTAGGTTCATTACTAAACATTTAGGCTTATTTAAGGATAGGGTAGGCATAGAGCGGGGTAAAAATTTTAAAAATTTTTAAAAAATTAAAAAGGTTTTTTTGCCCCCCCCCCCCCTTAATCAATCGCTTGTGCCAGTTGTTTTTCGCCGGTTTTTACTCGCTTCCATTATAAATTTACATACCTGGGTCGTTACGGAAAGGACGAATGTGGCGCTGCTTTCTCGGCGCCATTTTCGCTCCAAAATGCCAAAAATCGTCTCGCGAACATCAGTTTTTTTTGTAATCCCTGCCATCAGTCATCTGATTCTCGCAAATTACGACAACTTTTGACGACATCGTATGTTGTTTTTTTCGGAGATGGACAAGGTTATGGAGGGATTTTTGGGACTTTGTAATTAGGATTTAATTGTTTTTTATAAGAAGTTGATAGTGATGTAAAAGGGCAAATAAAGTAAAAATTTTGGGACCGGGCAGGACAGGACAGGGTCAATAAAAATTTATAAAAAAATTTTGGGCGTGGTAATTTTTTTAGGTAGGGTAGGGTAGGGTAGGGTAGTGTAGGGTAGGGTAGGGTAGGGTAGGGTAGGGTAGGGTAGGGTAGGGTAGGGCAGAGTAGAGTAGGGTAGGGTAGGGTAGGGTAGGGTAGCGTAGGGTAGGGTAGGGTAGGGTAGGGTAGGGGTAGGGTAGGGTAGGGTAGGGTAGGGTAGGGTAGGGTAGGGTAGGGTAGGGTAGGGTAGGGTAGGGTAGGGTAGGGTAGGGTAGGGTGGGGGTAGTGTAGGGTAGCCCCTCTCAGAAAAAAATTTTGAAAAAAGTTCAACGTGGTCCCTTCTGTCTAATTTTTGGCTAGTATTTTTGGCAGTATTTTTTTGACTTCCGCCCTCAGTCTAAAATTACCCGCCCGGTCTTTGGTGTGAGTATAAGAATGCGTAGGGGTGATTTTTAATTTTTTTAAAATTTTTTATGTAAAATTTTTGGTCAAAAAAATTTTTTTAACGTTAAGTATGGATAAAGAAGGCTAGGGTAAGTTCATGGTAGAGCGAAGGCAGGGCCAAAATGAAGCCACAATTTGATAGAAATTGTGATAGGGTATGGTAAATTAGAATAGGATAGAGTAAACTTGGAATTGTGCTAAATTGTATTTTTTGGGCATCTTTTGACATTTACAAGAACTTACTTTACATACTGTAAAATAGCAATAACTTTTTTTACAAAACAAAAAATGACAAGAACTTTCTTTACAAAACAACAAAAACAGTTGTTTTAGCCTAGTGTAATATGTGTTAATCTTCTCCGTCTGGCCCACTTCCTTTCCATTATTAGCTAAAACAAGTTCTCAATGTTTGCCTAAAATACGGCGTGTCGAGAGATTAAAATCAGAACAGGTCATCGAAAGAGAAAGGAACATGAATCAAGTTGGCACCCCTATAAACGATCGTTCTGATAAATTACACAACCTTTTTTTGCAAATTATGGTGGAAAAGGTGTGGCAGAATAAGTTTTTAGGTATTTGTGGTCTTTTTAGGGTTTGTAAAGAAAGTTCTTGCCATTTTCTGTTTTGTAAACAAAGTTCTTGCTATTTTTTGTTTTGTAAAGAAAGTTATTGCCATTTTTTCGTCTGTGAAGAAAGTTCTTGCCATTTTATGTTTTGTAAACAAAGTTTTTGCTATTTTTCAAATTTAAAAAAGATCATTTACTTCAATTTTAATGCCATTTTCAATACTTACCATTTCCCAAAACGGTCTTTTTATGCAAATTAGGTAGCAACTGGTGTTAATGAAGCTGTTTGTTTAAAACAGCTTTATCCGGAAAACCATCGCGGCACCTCATTTGCATAACCAAATTCGCCACCGTTTGCCAGGGTTTTTTTCGCTTGCTGACAGCCGGTTTTTTGCGAAGATTTTTTGGGTTTTGACTTTAAATTTTGAAATTTTTAAATTAAAAAATTGTTTTTTTTCAAATTTTGAAATTTCAATTTTTTTTAAATTTTTAATTTAAATTGTTTTTTGAAAAAAAATTAAAAATGAAAAAAATAGTTTTAGGCCAGCTAGTATTGTTTGTGTCAAGGTCGCTATGACAATATTTAGTTCATATGCTATTTTTTAAACAATTTTTAATGCCTTTTTGCAAGCTTTTTTTGTTAACTTGTCTGCATGTCGATGATGCTTAAGGCATTTTTAGTTTTTTTGAAAAAAAAATTTTAAAACATCATGCTTGTAGAGAGACCCGGCTGTGTTCAGTTCTGTGTTCTGAGCTTCACGTATGCTAGCCCAGCCTAGTTTCTTTTAATTGCTTTAGCCAGGTCAGGTCTAGTGAGCAATTATTCAAGTCTTACTAAAATAGGGTAAATCATAGGGCATGTAAAACTAAAAAGCGTCCCTCTCCAATTTTATAAATGAAAAAAGAAACACAGCTTGTGTTTTTGGAAACAAAATAATTGTAATACAAGTGAATTTGAATCATTGCGTACTTGTAAACAAGTCATGTGTGATCTGGAAAGATTATATTTTTTTACTATACATATTAATCATACATATATATTTTTTTTAAATTTTTTAATTGTTTTTATAATTTTTTTCGTTTGACTTGTTTGTAAATCAGAAATAAGGTCCGCTACGCTCGGCATGGGCCGGTCAAAGCAAGCTTAGGAAGGGCCAGTCTGTGCTGCACTGTGCGGATTCTAGGGCTAGGCTTGCACCTGTTATGTTGGACTAAAAAATTCGAAATAGGGCTTGGCTTAAAAAAATTTTCCGTGAACTCATTTTTCGGTTTTTTTTTCAATTTTTCACGCACCAGCCCCTGTGGATTTTTTTTTGATCGGCTGTGGGCGGATGAATCTATCCCATTAACCCCCCGCCCTCCCTCCTAGTATTTAGAAACGTTCATGCCTTTTTTTAATATTTGATTTTATCTTGCCTTATCCTACCCTACCCTACCCTATTCTACCCTACCCTCCCCTACCCTACCCTACCCTACCCTACCCTACCCTACCCTACCCTACCCTACCCTACCCTACCCTACCCTACCCTACCCTACCCTACCCTACCCTACCCGACCCGACCCTACCCTACCTTACCCTACCCTACCCTACCCTACCCTACCCTACCCGACCCGACCCGACCCGACCCTACTCTACCCGACCCGACCCGACCCGACCCGACCCGACCCGACCCGACCCTACCCTCCCCCTCTCTAGAATTCAAAAACCTCTTAATTTTTGACTTTCTCATAAGCCCTCTATTCTGTTTTGTCATCTGGTTGTCCTGAACAAAAAAAGGAGTAATTCAGATTTGCGCGGCACTAAATAAAGACCACCGGAAAAGTAAGCGGCCCACTTTTGGGGCGGAACTCAATGATGCGTTAAGTAGACACGATTTGCTCTCTTAAGATGCACAGATTAGGCAAACCAAATTAAGGAACGGGCAAAGGGCATTGGGCCGCGCGTTACGTTATGTAATCGAGGCCAGGGGTGTAATGGGTATATACACAGAAGGCAG